ATTCCCCCCCCCCCAACGCTGCACCATTGCACCAACCCCCCACTAGTGATGACGTACCATTTCAATGCATCGCTGGTTGGTGGCCATGTTTGCGTGTTTGCTTGTCGTTAGTGGTCTCTCCACCGTGTGTCTCATTTCTGTCTCTTATTTCTTGTTATTTTCGGCCTGGTCCCTTTTTGTCCTCGCTCTTTTTATTTCCTTTTCTCTTTCCTTACTGTTTCCTTTAATTTTCTTCTCTTTTTCCCTCTTTTTCTGTGCCAGATGGCCTTGTTTCTGCTTGCGTTGTGAAGTACCAAGGTTGAACCAAGGGGGTGTACCTCATTCTCTCCGGCCCGTGATGGTGACCCCTAGTCTCAGTTGTTACCTCGCATAGCGCGCAGAGGGAGTGGAGGACTCCAGAATATCTGTCGTTGATTTCTATTGACTTGCGGACCCCTCGGGGCCATTTTATTTGAGTGTACCTTTTTAGGGTAAGTCAGCCTGCGACCACGGGAATCGACCGCGTCGAGTGTTGGATCAGTACGGACATACGAAGGTACTGGGTAGAGAGAGATCGGAACGGCTTTTAATGTGAAGAAAACAACAACAACAACAACAACAACAACAACAACAACAACAACAACAACAACAACGGCGTCAACTCACAGGCACCCTGATTTTTTTTGCGGTATTATAAGTAAATGCCTTCTTGCAAATAAGAACGTTGTCCACAACATGCTTGCGACTACTTGCAAAAAAGAAGGTCAGCAGGTGAAAGCAACCCAAGCGGGCCGATGAGACGATTTCTCGCGCCTCGGGTGTTGGGAAACCCGTAGAGACCGTGTCGATCTCTTGGAGATGTAGTCTAGATACATACGTGATCGAGAGAGTAGCAGCAGCACATTCTCACGTTGTCATCATCGTCGTTGTTAGATATACTCGCAGCAGTATCTGGTCATGAGGATCCCAGGGGGATATGTGTTGGGAATTTCGTGTGTTGAAGGGTACCACGGGCGCAGTCACGGGGACCCTTTGGGCGTGGTCGGTGCAATGATGAGGCTTGCGTGCGTGCTGCGCACTTCTTCTTCTTCCCTCTCTCTCCACCACCACCACCGTCTCTCTCCAATCAAGTTTCCTTCTCCCACTCTCTCTCAACCTCTCTCTCTCGGCCTAACACGGCCGACTACCCAGTGCCCCAAAGTAACGCCCAGAACGTGCTTGCTGCACCCCGCGTAGTTTACCTTTCAGTCGTCGTCAGCCCTTTCTCTGAGGACCCGTGTTCACCAAGCAAGGGCGTAGTGCACAGGTCACGATTGATCTTGTCTTGCCCTAATCAGCACACCCCACCTCTTCTTTACATAATGGCGTCCTCGGGAGGACGTTCGAATTGTTGATTTTGATTTTCCACAGGAGGAGGAAACTAACCTCTAGAAGATAACATGTCGTCTCGGGCTCGACCCTCTACAAATACTGTACTATGGAATTCCCTGCTGTCTGTCTGATCCCAGTGGGTCCCTCCCGCCGCAGAGGGTAATAAATTTAAATTGTGTGGGTGGATAATATCAAACAAGACGAAAGGCCCGTTCACCAAGCAAGGTATCTGTCGTTCGAATTTTACCCAAACTGCCACGCCTTCTTCACCTTCCTTCACCTCAGACACCATGGGGTAAAGAGGTGGCAGTACCTCACACAATCGGTGCATATATGTATCCACTTCCTCTCCATCATTTCCATGTCCTGCGTATAGGACGTACATTCATCGTTCATTCCCAGGGCTTCGTACCGAATCTCACACACACTTGTGAATCTCACAGAACGCATCAACCCACAAAGAATGGACTCCAAGAAGGAAGCCAACAACCAGCAAATCTATCCTGCCTTAAAGAAAAAAGTGTTCGTGAGGAAAACTAGCAAGACCTCCGTTGACGAAAAAGTGCTTCAATTCGTCAGTACTGAGGACTGGCGTCTACCCCTGTCCACGGACACCGCCGGAAGATACGAACGTACGCGTTCCAGTCTCGCTTGTTCGCTCTTGCATGATTGACCTTTTCGTTTGTTGTTGCGGGTGTTCCAATTAATTGTTGGAAGGGAACGGAGGCCAAAGCAGAGCGACACGGAGGAAGGGGGCGGGACAAGTGTCGGCAAAACTGGAACCTGAACCGTCTTCGCTCTGTAGTTAGTTGCATCTTTGATCAACGTCGGGAGGAAATCTAGTCGCATCATACATTTGCTGCTGCTGCTGTCAAAAGAAGTGTACAGCAGTAGGCTAGCCACATCAATTGTTTTCACAACCGACAAACAAGCACACCAGGTCACCCCACCCTCTACACACACGAAATAACACCCACCTGAATAAGGTCTCGCTTGTGGACCGGAAGGCCGGTCACGACGCAACTAGGCAGCTCCGACGCGTATAGCCCCTGTATAACAGTGCACACGCGGTAAAGCCGGGCGTGGAACGTGAAGTCAGGTCAGACGAAGGGTGGGATAGCTGCGGGGGGGGTGATCAAACCTTCTTGCGAGGTGTAAGATGGGCACTGTTGGTCGTGGTCGAAACACACATGTGTTGTATGCAAGGATGTGTGACTATTTAGATGTTTTGAAGAACCAAATTGTTGCTTTTGTCTTCAATTTCATGGTCGTTCCCTCTACCGTTCACTTGCTCTTCCTTCCTCCTCAGAGGTAATGGAACTAACTTTCCGTGGTCAGAAGCACACACCCCAGGGTAAAACGAAAGTTAGCGGGGCATGTCAAGTGGACATGCAAAAAGGTGCATGTTACATTGGGGTGGGAAAGACGTGTTGTTACAGGAAGATGCGCCCATGCTCTTCGTGTCGGTTGTCTGTTGTTTGCCCGACAGTTGCCGTAAACGAAAAGAAAACCCGATGCGGCCTTCCTCATGAATGAGTGGTCCCGGCTGGTCCGTCCCATAAACATGCCAGTACGTGGGTGAAACATAGGTGAAAATATTCGACGTCCAGAATACACGCAGACACACACGCACGCAGGAGGGAGCGTTCGCACGTACCTGATACAGCGTCCCACCGGCTTCCTTCTCTGGCGGCAAAGCCTGATCGATCTTGGCGTCCATGCACACGGACAGCACCCAGTCCCTCACCTCTTCGCGTTCTGATTCCACGGGAATGTGCTGCATTAAATACATATCGGCGGGAAAAAACGGACCATTGATTTCGCGTCTTCGCACGTACGCATATGACAACAACAAAGGGTGCAACACAACACTCAAAAGGCCTTGGGGGAGGTCCGACAACCGGGGCAACGTCAGATAGGGCTCGAGTTTACGTATCCGGTATCCAATGCAGATGAAGGCAACATGCTGTGGAACAAAATAGGGAATTAAGAATGTAAAACAGCCACGGGGCTCCAGTCAGCAATGGAAGTCGTGTTGAAGTCGTAAGTTTTGCACACGGCAAAGCGTTTCAGGCAACCATCGTACTCGTGTATCGATCACTGCGCCTCTGTTGCATGAAACAAAAAATGACTTGCTTGGTAGAAGGGAGCCCTGCCCGCTTTCCAAATGGTCTACATAAAATTTGGGGGACCCATGGCGCGACGAATCCCCGGAGTTTTTCTGGCGAGAAGCAGCCCTCCTGCTTATGGCGTACCTGTTTGGTAGGGAGGGTCCTGTCGTCCACGAGGGGGACGTTCGTGGCCTCCGTGAAATCGGAGTTGTCGAGCAGGGAGGCGTTTCCTTCGTCGATGGCCTCGGTCAGGTCCACGTAGCGGTTGAGCAGCACGAAGGCGAGGTTCTCGTTGCCGAGGTCCTTGCACAGCGAACCAGCCTGTTTTTTTTTTTGTGGTGGTGGTGGTGGTGGTGGTGGGTTGCTAGTGTGTTGGAGTCCAAGAGGTACGTGCCGCTCAAAACCAGCGAAAACGCATGCTTCGTTGCCGTGCTGCGTACGGTTTCGAGCAAGATGGCCCTTGCATACTTTTAGTTGTTCGGCTGATGATAGGGACAGACGCTACAAGGTAAGCACCCCGGTCCTGCAATAGCGTCTTTGCGCAAGGCGCACGACGCTAGTGTTTCATGGGTGCATGGGCAAGCACTGTACTCACGGAACTTACTGGCACCGACGTCCGCAACACCTAGAACCGCTGGCTAACGAACGGTTAAGCATTGCAAGAAAGGAACAATGTGACACCACCGCACGTTTCACTCGGAACGCTCGTGAAACACACATACTTGGTGTGTATACGCGCCTGATAGAAACACTTGTCGGAGGGGATGAGGTCGCTGTACCGCAGCAGAGTGATGGACATCTTCGAGGCGAGCTCGAGGCAGTCCTTCCCACCCTTCTCTCGGCATCGCCCCATCAGACACGTGTAGTGTGTGGCCATCAAGAGGTGCTCGAATCCCGCAGGTGACGTCTTGTTCGACGTCTGGATGCCGCGCAGCGCGATGCCACCCAACGCGACACGGGTGTTGATAGTTTGCCATGTGTTTTTGTGTTTTTGGCCGAGGCGTGTACGAGGAGGCCAGAGGGGGGATTGCGGGGGGCGGGGGGGGAGGCGCGGAAGAGCAGCGGATTGGGAGGGGGGGCTACTGTAAGAGGTTTCGGGTCGGAAAGAGACACGTAGTGAAGACGTTGATTGTGTGTGGGAAACATGCCGCTTTCGTTGCCGACGTGAACGATGATGCTCTGTGTCTCCCATCGAACCAAATCGATAGTCGCTCCAGCCTACATGTCCACGATCGTTTTACAGCAGGGCACATAGCCTCTGTCTGTGCAAAACTTGTATGTTTTGCATGATCCTTGCGCACAAAACCTGCTCAACCTCTTGTCGACTGAATCCACTCCACACTCAAGAACACGCTCTCTCTGCGGCGGTATACTAAGTATATGACGCATCTCCCCCCGCTCCTCCCCCCTCCCGCAAACATCGCCAAGAAGGGCGCCATAAAAGCAAACACGGGAGCAAAAGTCGGAGCCGCCAACCGTAGCAGCACCCTCTTTTACACAAGTTGTTGTTCTTACCTTCAAGTTGTGCGCCTGATCTTGCAGAACCCGGAGTAACCGCTCCACCGTCTCCTGCGCCCCGGGCCGTGCCGACGCCTCCTTGTCCCTCCCGAGGACGGCCTTCACTAGCCTCTCGTACATGTCGGCGGCCGGCCCGCCGCTGCCACTCGAGACGCCGGCCCCCACGGCGGAGGACGACCTGCCGGGCCCCGAGGTTATCGGCGGTGCCCCCTTCTCTTGTAGGACCAGGACGGCGTCGTCTAGCTCTCGCCTGGCGACGCGCGGTCGAGTGCGGTTGGGGTGAGCAAGGAAGAGGTCACATGGATTGTTGAGGTTGTTGCTGCAACCTTGCGGTGCTATGAGGTAAAGCTGGTGTAGACCCTACACATCTGGGACGTGATGTGGTACCGACTTGTTCTGTGCATCCTGGTTGCCACACCTTTCCCGTCAGCACGGACAACACGACGCGACACCCATGTGGCTCCTCCAAGCGCACTTCCCCGACCAGTCTAATCACTCGCCGGTCCGTCCGCCATGTCTACTCTGCTGCGTGCAAAGAGGCCAAAGGACGAACATCTCTCACCGCTACACTGATTTTCGTTTCACTCTCTTCGTCCCCGCTGGCCTCCCGACATTTCGCAGGACAGACGCGCACACCAAAGACGAGTTTCCCGCCTACCCGTGCCACAGAACGTGCCTGCTGTTTGTTTGCGTAGGGCTTCTTCCTGTCTGTGCGTTGCGTACCTGTCGTCGCTGCCGGGAACTGGCTTCTCCCAACTGGCTTCATCATCCAGAACCGATCTCACTCGAAGGCCGGCGTACTTCGCAAGGGTTTCCACCCCCGACCCCTGCTTCGCAGCTGATTCCCACAATCGGTCCCACTCTCCCCTGAGGTTGGCGGTGGCGGCGGCGATGGTCGGCCAGCCAACAGACGAGGATGTTGGGCGGTACGGGGGTGCATGGGCAGGAGATCACGACGTCGGGGAGGGATGGATGTATCGGGAAAGGGAGATGGAAGACACGTGTAATGGGTTTGGGGGATCAGATTTTGTTGATTAATTCATTTGGCCAATCACCAAACATCTTGTAGACACAAAAATAGAGCATCGAGTAGGACACACTTGCGTTGGCCACCATGAAGGCCCCCCCCAAAGAGCCAGCCGTCTAACTCCACTGCAAGCTGCTTCAGGGCGAACGTCTCCACTCCTTCCACAACAGCTTCCTCACTCAATTTTCTCGGGGAAATCTCTCAGAGGTTGCATATGGGAATGCATAGCATGATCCTCAGGAATCCAAGACGTGGATAACACCTGGTGAACATATCAAAAACCGCAGGAGGGGGTCCAGCCCCCCCCTCCTATGTGACCCCGGTTGGGTCGTCTGGCTGGTAGAAGTGGAGGATAGGGGCCAGAGGGGCAGGCGACAGAGTCCAATGATGGGGGAAAAGCAACAACAAAAAAACAATATCACAATCCGTCCTCCTGGAGTGTCGTAAGGATCCAACCTTCACAGTCATCTCCGCGCTCGAAATCTGAGGGGTTTTGCTTGGCCAACCTGTGCGCGCGTTCTATTAAACTCCATGCTGTCAGTTGGTGAAAGCGCCATGGTACTAATCGGTATGTCCGAGGTATCTCGCGAAATGATCAGCCAGCCACAGATGACCATTCGTGTTTTGCTTCTTTTATATTTCTATGCACGCACTGAAACTCTGTGAAGGCGTTTTTTTTTCAGCATACGGAGTATCATATATAGCATGAAGTGATCTTCTTAGTTATGGGACATGTGCGACCGTAAGTTCGGGGGCTGTCCCTGAGACCCTGGAAAGCGGATAAGTGCAGAATAGATTAATATGTACCATCCATTGTGGATAAGCGCAAAATAGATTAATACGAAGTATGAACTATCCATTACAGAACTTGAGAATTGTTGGAGACCTTTCCACGACAAATACAACGCGAAAAGAAATACGTCACGAGACTCTCTCGGTGTTTCGCCGTAAAGTCGACCAGTTGAACCTGACGACGCTACCGCCCTTCCTCCACACACACACTTTTCGGGCATGTCTTGATCCCACAAACGACGTGTATGTTTTGGGGGATTTGTTTCTGGACAAGGAACGTTTCTTGCGATACCAAATACCCGAAGAAGACCTATCCGTAGGTGCGTGATCCGGATATTAAATGCTCGTTGACCAAGGCCCACGTGTACCGCACAGCCATAGCCTCCATCACGACTAAGGCCAGGTTAACCTCTTCCTCTGCTCCGTGGGTTGCTTGGGATACGTAAATTGGTCGTCACTCGTGGAGAACACCGTGCTGGGCGTTCACCCTAAACCAGCTCGTAAAAAGCGACCGACCATGCCGCACAGCGCAGCACAGATCGCGCAAGTGTAGGAGTGGCTGAGCTGCTCGGCTAGATGGGTGAACTCACTTCTGAGCGAGAATGTCGAGGGCCGCGTTTGTCTGACCCATCTGTAGTAGTTCCTCTGTGGCCTCGCCCCGCATGAGGTGCTGTTGGTACGCGCTCTCGACCTGGCAGGGGGAACGGCGACGGCAGCAAGGAAACAACGAGCCCGAGCGTGATGGACTCGTGCGTTGCCGTTGTCGTTTTCATTGGAGTGTCACCAGACCTGACCTCCGCCACCAAAAATTGGTTGCTACGACGCGTTCGACCTCCTCGCCTCACTACCACCACTCCATCAAACCACTTATTCCATACAGTCCAGGTACACATTCATTTCATCACCAAACTCACCGCCCCAGCGACGCCGCCATCAACATCACCGCTGTCGCTAACCCCTCTGATCGCAATCTCCCTTCAAGTTACGTTTATTCCAAGCAACCCACGGAGCAGATTCATCCTCAGTATATCGTGCCAAGGACAACACCACCGGTTGTTGCACGCCAGAGGTACTTGACTTGCACGATGCGCGTCGTAGAGGCAAGTAGGCACGTGCAGATCAAAAGTATCGTGGAGGTCTATCTACCTTCTCGGCCAGCTGCCCGTGACCCCTGGCGGATTCTCGCGCCTTTTCCCACGCGCCCCCGGCCACTGCCACGGCCACCGCCTCCTCCGGCTGGTCCGCCGCCCTCAGCACCTCCGCGGCCGCCTCGTGCCTCCCCATGTCCGCCAGGCGACGCGACACCTCCCGCACGACCACCATATGCCTGAACGCGTGCAGGTTCGGGGGAGGGGGTGGAGACGTCCGGTCGGAAGAACACTTGCAAGCAGAGGAAAGGGTAACATGATAGACTATTTCAGAAGATCGGGCGAGGGAGGGGCGGGGCAATGTAGAATCCATGAATGAACTACTGTAAGGCCAGGGGGTTGCAACGCACCCGTTCACCCATTGTGTCACGTCGTAATCAATCTCAAGCTAGCGGGAGGGAGACGAATAACGGTAAGAATAGGAAAGCTTTTGCAGAGAGAAAATACGTGTAGAAGCTTTCCTCGGCAAGTGCAGGTGACCCCCCCACATCATGAACAACGAGCTTCTCGACCACTCTTGCTAATCCTACAGTGTGCCGATCGGAGTGTTCTACATGTTAACGCCAAAACGAGCGCCCGTAATGAATGTTCTCGTGAGAGTCGTTATTGATCTTCAAAGCAAGTGAGTGGAGCAGTCGGAGAAATTAACTGGCGTCTCCTTCACCGGTGGCCACACGTCCTCCTTCCCACCCCCCATGCCCCCCCTCTCGCGCACCTGTTTGGTAGGTCTACTCTGGCCACGGTAATGGCTCTCTCCCACACCTCTTCCAGGTCCTCAGCGTTCATCGTCGCACTCTGGGTAGCCTGGAGGACATAGTTTACCATACAAGCGAAGCACCTCATAAGCCGCCATTATAACAATGTGTTTGCTTTCTATGAAAAAATTGCTTTTTCCCATCCAGACAACGTCCGCTCGACATGCAGCGGAATCAACTAACTACATACGCTAATGGGGAAACGCACTTGATGCACATTCGAGAGAAAGACACATAGATCAGGTTTGTGTTGCACACCCCAGGGGAAGGATCAGATGAGGATTCGGTAGGAGAATAACAGAGCGTGTGGTGAATCTGGTAACAGTACAAAGCGCAGCACGCAGACCCGCACAAACCCCAGCAAAGAGGGCTTGCAGAACAACTTCGTTTGGTTTACATGGTAAAAGGCTACCGAACCAGAGCGCAGAAAGGAGGCGAGACTATGTATCAGCGCCTCTGTTCCGCACCGTCGACGTGCATGTCACCACTCGGCGAAAATTTCAGCGGGACCTTTGAGTTGTTTCGAGTAGGGTACTCAGGGGATAGCGTAGCACTATTGGCAGTTCAATGTCACTACTGCAAACCACTGTACAGTAGTGTGGTGACACCGAATTGGTTTACTTGGGGCATCCATGCAGAGGCACGCCAGTCTAGGACATCGATACCGCCAGCGAGCCACACCTTGAGGTAGGCGTCGATGGCGGCGGACCAGTCCCTGTTCTGCTCCAGAGCGCGGCCGGCGCTGAGGTAGTCCGCCTTGGTTCCGCCGGTGCCGGTCATCGCCTGAGCGGCCTGTTGTCGTAATAGTCCATGGCATCACCACAAACATCATCATCAGTCATTTCCGTCGGATCGTTCACCACGGATCGTTTTCGTTTGTCGAGTTATCCACCCACCACGCCCGTACACGAACAACAACGCCAGAATTTTCCCGAACGTCGTGATATGCGCGTGTTTCCGACATTGCATGTCATCCCATCCCCATGTACATATGCGGTGACGTGCCATGCCTTGAGCCACGGGCGATACAAGCCCAGTCAATCGGCAACACGGGTGGACGGGAAGCGATTGGCTCTGCTTTTGGAGACGTCTATTGTCCCTCGGGGTTGGTATGTGGTATTAGAGGTGGCCCTTTGGTTCTGTGAAGGTTTGAGCAGTTGTTGTTGAGGTTGTGAAGAACAGAGCCCCCCCCGAGGGGCAAGAGGGACAGGAAAGGGCGATGCACGATCGCAGTCCTCGCAGCGTCGATGCTCGCATCCTTCACAGACAAAGACGCACCATGCGCGGTTTCCCCCGGGTAGGCTCGGAAGGTTGGGGGGGGGTAGGTAGGAAGTCTTCGTTTTCAGGGTCGCACTTGGCTTCTGTGAACGACACCATTTTGCGCCACTTACAACAGTAGGAAGCTCTGAATCTTCGGCTACAATTAGAAACGCGACGTTCGTCTGCACATCGAAACGAAGGATGACAAAATATCATCGGCTTCACTTGAACTGTCTGTGGAAACAACTACCAAAAAATGCACAGCGGCAGCCACAGCCACAGCCACAGCCACAGCGCACAACAGCAACAACAACAACAATAATGCTCATGTGGTACTCCCTTCTAGCCCTGTTACCTGGTATTGCGCGTGAACCTTGTGCGCTAGGTGCGGCAGATGCCTTTGGCACACCCGAAGTGCATCTCTCCACATTCCCGCCTCTTCGTAGCACTGTTAACAACGCGTGCACGTAAGGGGGTCTGTTCGCTTGGTTGGTGCTTACAGTTAGCGCTATCGCTACTTGCATTTGGTGGGCCCATGTAAGATATTTTCGGTGGATGCACATCCACGAGCATGACACGGGAGTTTCCTTGTGGTCAGGTCTCTCCTTGTACACTCCCGGAAGCCCTCCGATTCTTGCTACATCCGGACAGGAAAACTAGCACGGAGGTGCCAAAATCCGCCTCACAAGCGGTTCACGAGATGCAGTACGCCCTTCATGCGACCCCACGCCACACCGATCCATCCGCCCCCGTTGCCACCGCCTGCACCTGATCGGCAAAAGTCGGTGGTGCCTTCAACCCCGCACTTAGAGATGCCAGGGAGGAATCCATAGCCTAAAAACTACGACCGCACTGTATGACACTGAGGTACCCCCCGCTACATGCAGGCGAACGAAATATCACCTGTAGCGCCTTCTCGGGCTTGGCGGCGCGCACGTACAAGTCCTCAGCCGCGGCTCGATCCCCCGCCGCCGCCACGTCCACGGCTTGGGCGCACAGCACGTCGGACACGGCGGGAGGGTCGTGGCCCTCGGCGACGCGGCACGCGTCGGCCCAGGCCTTCTGGTGCACGAACATGTCGATGGCCTCGCGCGGCTTCCCGGCCTGCAAGAACTCCATCTCCGCCTACAGGTGTGGAGAAAACGGCAAACATCGAGCGGGGGGCATGGGAGTGGTCATGCATACCGTTAATTGTTGGGAAAATATTCTTCGCATCCCTTCAAAACCAGGACACAACAACACCACAGCTTACCCACTATTAGTGCGGGAAGTAATTCGTGTAGAGTTCTGTAAGGCAACGGTAAATGGCACCCGTGATGGCGGGCACAGTGTCTCCTTTTTTGAGAGTAGAGGAGGAAGCAACGGAGCGCGGCCGCGCCGCTCGCTCGTGTTCTGACCCCTTCTGCCGGCTCCTCCGCTGATGCCCACGGCCCGTTCTTGGCCCACTGCTCTCTGACCCCCTCCCCACTCTCAACGCCTACTCTCGCGAACGCCCCATCCTCCTCCCCCCCGCCTAAGGGTCCGTCACGACGTGCGGGAACATGTCAGAAGTGTTCCCGTACGCATGAGTACAAGGACGTTTGCCATGCCCGTTCGATTATACTGCCGAGCGTGACGATATGTAGGTAAGAGATTTTGTTTGGTTTTCTGCTGCGTTCCTCTCAGCACCTATCCAGCACAACACACAGAGAAAAAACAAAAACGGCCATGCCGTGCCGACGGACGACCCCTCGCCCGTCAAGCGGAAGGGTCAATAGACCACGGTTGCCTGTCTGCTCAGCTGCCGGCTTGGTACGAACCTCTTTGAAGCGTTCTTCGTCTTCCAGGAACAGTGCGTGCTTGAGGTGGATACCGGGGAGCTTTGCCGGGCAGCAAGCCTGGGCAAGCTCGAGGGCGTGGTCGAAGGCGCCGGACTCGGTGGCGTACTCTATCGCCGGCTCGATCAGACCCTGGCAAATCGGGGGCGTCATGTGAATCAGAGGAACGAGTGCATGCACTCAGCAGCAAGGTACTTGAGACGTAGGTAGACTCAGTAGGTCGACTTCGACGAACGGCTGAAGCCGGCTGTCGGCAAAAGGTCTTCACCCGCTCAATGATCGGTTTCTTACGGTTGGTAGGCGTGATCAACTTGAAAACGAACGAGGGGGGGAAGAAACCATCCATACGGGAGAACAACACATACACGCGTCCATCTTGTTGACGTTGCAACCGCTTGGACTGAATCGGGGTCGATCATTTCCTTCCGAACCAAGTCGTGCATCGTGTTGAAGGCGATAGTTCTCAGTCCATCACAACCATGTCATTTGTGGAGCTTTTCAGTGCAAGGAATGTTGTTTGATCTCGGCGCGTCGTATGCCATCGCTCACCTGCTTGTTGAGGAGCTTTGCCCCTGCGTCCCCGCCCAGCGCCAGCGCCCAGGCGTACGCAACCCTTTTGTGCGCGCTCTGGCCCCCGTAGAACTTGGCCACCCGCAAGGCGTCGTTCCACATGTCGCTCGATCGGTACCTACCACATATTTCGTTTGGAGCACATACGAAAACGTAGCGATGACTCCGATGGTTATGTGAAAGTCGCCATAAAAATGGTGAATAGTTTGAAGGTTTCATTATCGAACGTTGAATTTTCTACGGAATTTGATCATGTACCGTCGGAGCTTTGCCTGTTAGCGGGAGAGATATGATGGCGGGAACCTTGTTGGGTTGGTGATGCTGCACGACCAAGGCCCAGGGAGACTGGAAGTGGTGCACACTATGTGGTGGGAGCGAGATTGAGAGTTCTGGTCGGGATATGAGCATGCGTGACTTACGCGATGTTGGCCGAAGGTACTCTATGTGTCCGTGTGCCCCATAACGCCGGGTAGGCAAGCATTCGCAAGCGGTGATTCCGTGCATGTTGTTTGTCGGGGAGGCGGGGGGTAGCCGTCTCAATGGGCTAGACGGTGTTCCCGGTTGTATCGTGATGCCTTTCAGCAACGGGACCCCAGAAAAATGCAACAACACCGCTCTTTTGTCGGTCGTCTCCGTCACGCTTGCGAAGCCGCACGAACGCCTGCACTATCTTCTCCTCACATGTTGACAGCGCTTAGCCATTCCCCGGCTTCGGCGTAGTGGTGCTCGGCCTCTTTCAGGCTCCCCTCCATCTCCAGCTGCTGCGCAAGGTACTGGTGGGTCTCCTTGAGCACGTCCGGCCGGTGCTTGGCCACGAGGCGTACCATGGCGTCGAAGCGCTTAGCTTTTTTGTACATGGCGATCGCTAGATCCATCTAACAGCGGTTGTACACAACGGCGGGGTGAGAGCAGGGACGGGGACACTCGAATGCAAGTGACAGTAAGGCGTAGCCATCCGCGTCAGGAAAAAGGGCCATCGCTAGTGGTGACCTTGCGCGTGGGCAATAGTAGTGCCCGTACTTTAGGTCAACTTGACTCGAGCCCAACCTGGAATGTGAACGCCTTGCCTGGCTATCGCTCTCGAACCTCCTCCCCGCATCATCTCCCTTGGGCTTACCGAAAGCAGTTCAGCAACCGGCCTTTTTCCTTCATGAGCCCCAACCGTGCATTTCCTCTCCCCCGCACCAGCTTTTCATACACCCCCACACCAGCTTCGCGATCTGCCGATCTGGTCATCGCGCGTAAGCACTCGTTCCTTCCGTCCCTCAGGCGTTACACTACGCCGACCTTCTCCAAACTAGGGCTTCAAAACGACAAGCCGCCCAAGCGGTAGGATACGTATATGTGCTGCTCCCCCCCCCTCCCCCCCCAAGCGACTAACACACCTCTCCGACTTGCAGATAGAGTTTTTCAGCCTCGAGAAGGCTGCCGGCGGCCTCCATCTTCTGCGCCTGCTCCATGTACAGCACCCGCACCTCGCCCTCACTCATGTACGACGATGCCAGTTTGTGTGCCGCCTCCCAACGGTTGGCCTGTGCTTGTCGTCGTCGCCGTCGTCGTCGTCGTCGTCGTCGTCGTCGTCGTTTTTGGGAGTGGGGGTGGCGGATGTCGGTGTGACACGGGCGCGCAGGCAGGGGGGCGCGCAGGGCGTCCGGTCAAGAAACAAGGTCATTTTAGCTTTCGAGAGAGACATCGGAATGAGCCGAGACATACAGTAGTATACCTTCCGCATGGGAGCGGCAACAAGTCATGGTGCCGGACCGTCTGTCTACGAAAACTACACGACAGCAGTGTAGAAGTATGCAACACATCAACCCCCTCCCCCGCGTGCCGAGATGTTGAGTCTAGCCCTCCGTTGCCATGGCGTCGATCTTGACAGCAACCATCCACGCCGAGGGAGAGTACACTGGGGGGCCGTGAGTAGTGCCGCTATGGACCAGATCAGTATACCGGCCCTATTCAGAGGGACTGGCACGATTCAAAGTACTGAATGACTTGGTGATTCAGTCTGCTGTGCCCGCCTAAACCACCGGCACCACACCTATTTATTTCCCCCCTGTCCTCCGCAACCGCAATCTAGACTTCAGTGGGTTGGCGCTGTTGGCAAAGCGCTGTAAAACACGCCACCCCAAATATAGCCCTCATAGTCATAGTATGCGCTACCAAAGACGCGTGACGCATGGATGCGTGGAGTGAGGATTGCCTACGGAAACCTCACAGGTTGAGTGATGTAGGAGATTGCCGGACACATAGACGTGTTGAGTGATTAGCTGTATACTGAAACCCCACGGAAAGGGGAGGTTTGAGATTGCCAGACACATAGACGCGTTGAGTGGGGATAGCTGCTGGAACCCCACGGGTTGAGTGATGTTGGAGTGCCGGACATATAGACGCGTTGAATGAGGATAGACACATATTGAACCTCACAGGTTATTTGTATTGGAGATTGCGAGACACCTAGACGTGTTGAGTGAGGATAGCTGCATACTGAAACCTCACAGATGCATTGGTTTTTGCCAGACACATAGACGCGCTGAGTGGGGATAGCTGCATATTGAAACCTCACAGATGGATTGGTTTTTGAGTTTGCCAGACA